CAAATAATGTTCTATGTATTTAAAATTTTCTTTTTCGTCAATAAAAAATTTATATTGATTGTTATATTTCTCAAATATATTAATGATCATGAAAATTATTATTGGTTATACTTATTAAATCATTGTCATCATTGTAATCATTAAATCTTTTTATTGGATAAGTATTAATTATAAGAAGAATTATAAGAAATAATTTCTAAATTTGCACTTGAATTTACAATATGCACGTAGCAAAAATTAATAAAGAGATTTCTTTCTCTTCGTCATCTTCAATGCTTTAAATATTGTGACCATTAATACTACTAGCTTAGCAATGTACCATCTCCTACCACCATTAGTAGACTTTTGTATTTTCATTCAACTTTTATGTAAGCATTTGTCCTTTCTTTCATTCTTTAGCATCCTCTCCATTTTTCTTCTTTTCTTCTAGGTGAGGCAAGTTCCATTTCACTCTTCGATTCTTTGACTTAATTATCCAAGTAGTAATTTTTCATGCTAATTTGTTTGCATCTAAGTGGAAATGGTGTCGATAGTGAATGTAAGGAATTATTCTGACTGACTAATAATTAATAAGTCAAACTTGGATAGATTTATAATTGTGAAAGTTGCATTTAAAGAACGATATGAAAGGTATATAAATAACAGTATTAATAATACAATAGTAATACAAATATTAGAAAAATCAATAATATTAATATTGTACCAAAAATGTTTTGTATAAATTGTATTATCTTGAAACAGTAAGCTATACTCTAGTTGACACCATTAAAAGTAACTTATAATAACTTATAATTAAAAATAACTTAGCATCTATGTTATAATTTTGCACTCAACAGTGTAACTGTTATGTAATATAATGTAAGTATTATATTAGGTGTGGGAAAAAATTCGTGGCGTTTTTTTAATGTCATCTAACGGGAAAAACGCCACGAACTTTTTCCCACACCTAATATTACATTTATACTGTTAAGTGCGAAATTATAACATAGGTGTTATAGATCGTTATATATGTGTTACTTTTAGTTGACTGAAATTGATGTTGATTAGAATTATTATTATTCTATGACTAATATTTTATTGGCGTGAGAAATACATCGAATGTTATCGGCTTCTAGCGAATATTGGAATAACAGAAAATAAATTTTTCACAGAAAAACCGTAAACCTTTAAGAATTTAATCGTTCTCCTCGTCTCTGTGTCCATCGCGTTCATAGACATCACTAGGGATTTATAGTTCGACTTTTCCGGACTAAAACGGGTTTACCTGGCACGATAAACGAGAAGCATGAAGTCAAGGGTCCCGAGCTTAAATCGAGTTTAGTCCAATATCGAATTTCGCTGGAAACAAAGTCTCCGGTGTATTGTCTTGAAAAACCGGAGACACAATATCGCTAGAGTTACTGGTTGAAGGCATTATATAGTTTACATTTACTTTACAAGAGCCAGCGAAATTTTGTCACTGTTTGATGGGAACAACGATCACATCAATCGAATTTCAAGTCGAGTTATTTTATAATATTCACTTTATCATTCATACATTTATAATTTATATATAGCATCGCATAAAAGTTTAAAGTGTAAAAATCACATAAAATTATAATTTATTACAATATCGAATAAAATGAGATGCAGGATGGATAAATTTTGATAACATAATTTTGTTAATGCAATCTACAATCACATTACATTTAACACGAAGTTGAGTAGTTGGCAAAAGTTATGATAGCTTGCGTCTTTTCATTTAATTTGCAATAATTTAAAGTTTATTGTTGAAAAGAGGAACAAAAAGAACAAAATTTACATTTAATTTTATTAGAGACAAATTCATATATGAAGAAAACGAGATTTTTTATGTCCTTTACGATATTGCCATCTCGTGAGAATAAAGCTGTAGCATACACAAGAATACATCTACGTTTTGCTGACGATTGTAGAGAACAGGAATCTTCTATATCGACATCCAATGCATTTTCTGCTATAGATGCTTCAAGGTTAGAAATACGATCTTACTTATGCCGATAATTCAGTTCTCTAAATCATTGTATGTGTATTTATGATTGTTTTTTAAACTAAATTTAAATTAAAAATCATAATTAGAAAGCTTGTTAATCCGACGTTAGCTAAGTCGAATATGTCACACCCGACACATTGATCTCTTTAAAATTGTTACTAATTTGATTAAAATTTTAATAAACATAATTTTCTTATAATTCTGAATATTTTATTTGTAGCTTTTATTTTATTAGTGGGAGATCCGTTATGTCTTATGAAGTACTTTTAAGTATTTTATCACCTAGCTTACACCTGGTTAAATAATATTCAATTAGATAGAATTGAGAATTAGGTGGATATAAAATTGTTTCAAGCATATAGTTCGATTCATCATTGTTTATTTCTTTGTCACTCATCTTATTATTAACATATCATGTATTTTCGGATCTAATATATAAATTATATATATAATAAATTATATGTATAATAAAATATATAAATTATATATGTTTTTTGATGTATCATATGATAGGATTATGTATTTATTATTAACGGAGGGATATTTTATTCTTAAATCCAAACCTCCTATTGTGTGACTCCTTAACGATAGCAAGGATATCGTTATATTGTCGTCGCAAATTCATATTATATTGATATTAAAAAGCTACGCAACAACAATACATAACAATATATAGTACTGTCGTTAAAATTACAAAATAAAGATCTAAAACAATATAATCTTGGACATCAGTTTCGTGTTAAATATTATTATATACAGTATTAATATCGTGCGCTACATGTATAACATAGAAGGAATAAAGATTTATTTAAACGTACAAATATACATGCAATAAGTTTATGTATGTTATTCTTACCTCAATATAATATGTTAATATTATTTAATTCGAGGGAGGAAAGTAGAAATTATTGATTTAATATTAATATTGTTTATTTTTAATTGCATAAAGTTGCAATAAGATTGAGCATGTGAAGAATATTTTTGTGTTGTTATTAGAAATCTTTTTTAAAAAGATATGTTTGTTCATGCAATTATTATTATATAAGTCTTTATCATATAAGGAAAACGTTGGAATATTATTACTTTTATTCTACTATTATAAACGTTGTAAAGATGTAAAACGCAAAAATGGTTAATATGTATCGCCCGATTCTTGTAGATGTAGATTATTCGAACCGCATCGCAACGTAGTCACGTCAACCAAAGTAGAAACTGAAACTGTGTGATGCTTATCTCTCTCCTACATCTATTATGCGCATATATTTAAAACTATCTTGCTATGTTTATTCTTCTTCGCATAAGAAGGCATAATCATTCGTTTTCCTGTGCTTGTCCTTGAGCTTTGGTCTTGAAGTAGTTTCTAGTTGTATATAGCGCAAAAAAATTACCTTTTTCAGGTAATTAAAAATTCACTCTCGTATTCTTATTGGTTATAAATTATATTTGAAAAATAAATAAAGATGAAACATCAACTTTATTTTAAATAAATTAGATTTTGATGCCTTTAGTATGTTTTGTTGCATAAAATAAATAAAATGCTTACAATTACAGTAATCATTTTATTCATTTTATTTATTATGTTCTCTGCTATTTATTGATTAAAATTAGGATTCATATGAAGCGAAATATGTGAAACTCGAATATGTAGACACTGAATGCGCTACTTTGCAAACATAACAATATTCGAGTAAGAAAATAGGAAATTTCAAACAATTCCGTATTCACATGTTCTTTTTTTTAAATAATTATTTCATTCTTTTGTAAATAGATGTTTTAATTTAATATAAAACAAGAAAAATAAAAAATATAATTGCAAATGTAACATTTCAAATATTTGCATGTTCTAATCATTAAAAAATAAAATATTAAAATCTTTAATAATTTCATGTCTCAGCATTCTTTCGTTTGTATATATTCCATTATTCATATGTATTATTCCAATATTATTTTTCCTTTTGTGTTAAAATAAAATTTCCTTTATTGCATATGAAAACGAGATAGAATATATATATATATATATATATATTTGTAATAGAATATTTTAAAACTGAACTTGATTGAGTTTGAAATAAAATGCTAATCATACGATACATTTAATATATTTAATAAATTTTCAATTAACAATTATCGCGTAATAAAAGCACACTTCAACATAGTATTTAAATATTTTTTTTCGTGTAATCTTATCTGACGGTGACATGTATGAATATTACACGTTTCTTCGTGTAAAATGGTAAAAGATAACGTTTACCATATTTTATAATAAACAAGAGAAATGAATTAAAAAGAAAGAAGACAGATAGAGAGAGGAATTTACGTTCGAGTATTCGTCGTATGTATTATATGTACGTTTGGTTTGGAGCAGGAGCGTTCGGAGCGGAATAGCGGATGCCCCGCTCTGGTCGCGCCGCAGACAGGCAGAGTGAGGGAAGCAATGGAGGTGGGAAGGGGGGGGGGTGGGATGTGGGGTGCGGCGCGTGGGGCTGCGCTGCGCGGGTCACGGCTGTCACTTGTCAGTCCGTCGCGAGCGCTCGCGTCGTAAGATTCGTCTTGTTCTGTTCTTCTTCTTCTTGTTCCGTATCCTCTTCTACGTTCACCGAGCGCATATCTTTGAAAATTCACATTAATGTTACGCTCGCGGAACCTCGGGAAAATCGCGCCGCCGCGATTTGTCGCGGTCTTCATACGGCTACATTGATTCTCGCGCGATTTTCATTTTTCGTCTGGTGCGGTATAATCACCTGTCTTGACGCGCGCGCGCGCGCGCGCGCTCGCGCGCACATTACGTGTCTGTATATGTGTGTGTGCGTGCGTGTGTGTGTGTGTTGTGCGTGTATCCGTTCATATGTGCCGTGTTTTGGTCTCATAATCTCTTGAAAATTCGTCGCCTATTCGTTTTGTCGGCTGCTTATTAATAAGTGCGTGTAGTGAGAGAGGAGCGTGTCCTTTGGATTACTGGAAGCGCATTCAGCGAGAAGTTGTCATTTGAATTCGCAACGCTCGAAAACTCAGGTACGATTCGAGAAGATCATGGCTGAATCTCGTTATTGATACGAATGCAAAATGAGAGCGCACTGGATAAAATGATGAAATTTTATTTTGATGAAGCGCGAGTCACTGCTCCGAAATGGAGTTGTGTTGCTTTTTCTCTCTTTTTCTCTCGCGTTCTCTCGCGTCTCGTTGTGCACGCCTTGCGCTTCGGTGAGAGCCGCGCGCGTTTTAAAACGAGCACGTTGCATCGAAACGTTATTTTATATTGATTTTATTTAACGATTTTCACAATCATCGTTCAGAATGTTCTGTTTCGATAAATACAGGTCAACGCCATTTGTTTCTGCGAATCTCCCAATTTTAATTGCGGTATTTCACGTGTCAATATTTTTATGTTTTCTTTCTGACATCATCAATGAAAAAAATGTCGATATTTGTTAAACGATTTTTATAAAATATGTTGTATTAACTGTGACTTTCATCTAATCATGTGACTCACGCGTTTCTGTAATTGTCAGTCATATACATAATAAGTTTTGTAATGCATTTTTGTAAAAATTGTAACTGATGCTTTTGTTATTTTTGTATTATCGCATTGTTTAGAATTTGATATTTATGTATTATCATAATTCTGATTTATGGTACTTTTTAATAAATTTTTTGGCACTTTTATGAATTACATGATGTAATCATTATATCGAAATATGCCGATATTTTTTTTAAGGAAAACAAATATATTTTATTTACAATTTAAGAAATTTTTGTTAATCATGCGCATTTCATTTTGCATTGTGTATATATAATGTTTAATCTCAAGATTTTTTTATACAATCGTGATTCTATTCTTATAGTTATATATTACGAATATATCTTTAAAAAAAGCTGTTATATTTTACGATTATTATGTGTGATAAATTTTTAATTCGATACACGTCGAAGCTCCCGGTACGAATTCTGTTAAAAATTAATATTTTTTACAGAAATACAATATTTTTGACAATATCTGTATAAATTTGAAAATTACGTGTAATATTCGTATGTTGAGATTTTTTTATGATTTCGCGAAATTATTTTTTGTGGAGCTTCGGCAAAATCGGTGATTTCTTCTTGGCTCACATATCTTGGTAAACGCACACGCCTAGAAAGTACGACGTCATAGTACACACTACACATGGTCGCGACTCGCGTATCACTCGCAGCTCGCAGATCGCGCGCACCTGTTGTTTCATTCTTTCGCGCTTATACGCGTCTCAACTCTCAACTTCAACGTCGCGATCGAGGTAGACCCAATGGCTGCGCATAAATTATGCGCGCGAGCATATTACTCGTTAAGTATGTTCTTTTAACATTCGCGAGCCATGTGAAGGACGGGAAAGACGGGCTCCATCACGAGCAACGATGACCTAAATGCAACAAACAGTCATCAACGTGTTCTTCGCGAACGCTTCGAATGCTTTTTTGACGAGTCTATTAATCGGCTGGAAATTACAAAACTTGCGAGTGCAGATACATCTTTGAAGCGTTTTACATTGTCATTATTACAATAAAAAATGATCGAGATAAGTATTCGCTTACGCTGCTTCAACTAATAAAAGTGAATGGATATAATTGGAAATTTTTATTTTAATTACTTATTCTCGTATATTTATTTTATTAGTTGCTAGGAGCTTGGTCAATTAAGTATGTTTAATTATATAATCGATTGACAAAATTTATTTATAATTGAAATGTAATAGTTAAATACCATGTGCATATCGCTTCCTTACTTCAAAAGTGACAACTTACATGATTAGTTTCCTAGGAAAAGGAAAATACTATTTTTATCTTGACAAAAAAATATACTTGACGGAAAATTATTGACTAATTAAATAATTTGGCAAAAGAATATATTCTTATGATTAAATGCTGTTTTTATTTTATTTTTGTTTTACTCTTTTGTTTAACTCTTAAAAAACTCTTTTTGAATTATGACTTCTTTTAAAATGAAGTTAAATTATTTCACTTTTGATGACTAATAGAATAATGTTTACTTAACTCATTCATGACTCGAAAATCACGCATTTTGAGTTCTATCAGTTTTGAAATATAAGAGAGCGATGTAATCTTAATTGTCATAGTCATGACGGCGCCGCACCGGTCGCTATCTCGTGCTTTTCGGAGCGGATGTAACGTCATTTATAATGGTATATAATTATAGTTAATTATCTTGTAATTTTTTTATGCTATGACGAATGATTCGCGTGATCATTAAAGGCGGAGTTCACGCGTTCATTGTAAACATGTCACTTAGAGAAAGCTTGAAATTGCGCTATTCAACGTACGTTTTTGTGAACAGAAAAACTCATTATTTTCTTAATGATTTTTTTCACCTTTTATACATATTTCCTAAAAATAATTTTATTTATTTTTCATGTTTATAGATAATTTGATTATATTTCTTGTTCACAATGATGACTAATGTAGTAACTCAAATCATCTTTGTGTTGCGAAATCGTCCATCGAACAATCGTTGTCAATTGAAATATAATTTATGGTTCAAGACTTAATGTGTTGAAAGAGAAAGTGAATTGCCATTCTGTCCGTTCACTTTTAATATAAAGCAGCGGAAATGGTAATTTGTCATACGAATGTTCAAGTCAATTGTTTTTCAACGGTTTTTTGTCGTCAATTTTTTTAATCAGTCTATCTTTTTAATTAATTAAATATATTAATTGCTTTTATATAATCAAATAACTTTTCATAAAAAATTATTTTTAAAATTTGAAAGATGAGAAAGATGACCGTTGACATACGGCGTGTGCGTATGCCAATTATATGTAATATTATTAATTATATATAATATTATTATAGATAGATATTTGAAAAGAGTTAAATAGATAATGCAGCTA